GGAAACGGCCGTCCCGTCGGAGCAGCGGTGCCGGGGCTGGGATAGCAGCGCGGAGCGGGGCACGCGGTCGGAAGTCGGGAAGAGGAGGCAGGAGAGCTGCTAGTAAGCTTTCTGCTTCTGACCCTTGTCTGATTTCGCGCACAGTCTGGGCGGTGAAATATTTTTGCACCCACAGGAATGTTGTTGCCTCTTTCTTCCAGGAAAGCTAGAAGAGTGTTCTTAGGTGCACAACCTTGTTTTTATTCCTCCTCTTGTAAATGATGTTTCAGGGTTGTCTTTTAGAAAGCCAACAATCTTTGCTTTGCAGGGAAAAGACACATCTGTAAGCGCTCTGAGGATCCTAGTTGCATTACTGCTTTGTATTTCTGGGCTGCTTGTATTTTTTCCTAATTTTTATTCTTTACCAACTTGCATGCGTACCTCTTTGTGCTTGATCTGGATGGAAAGATGGTAACTTAGCAGTAAGCAGGAGCCACGTGGTGGAGAATGTAAGCGTATTTCGGTTTGGTAGCGCCTAAGGAGAAAATTGTATAGCTTTTAATAGTTTCTGATGTATTACAACTGATAAGTAAGTGATCAGTGTTTTTTTAAGAAACTAGATACAGCCATCTGAGAGAATATAGTAGGAACTTGAAGCAAATAGGTTTATATTTTTGGTAAGTTTGGAAAAATCTTAAACTCTTCTCATTTGCACATTTTGTGAAATACTAGCAAAGAGTAATTATCAGTAAAGTTAATACAGAGTTCGTTCCTTCACTGAGATGGCAAGCAGATCACTCCAAATCAATCCCGTATAATTCTGAAGCATCTGACTTTGTGGATCGAGGTTTTTGTTGTTTGGTTTGTTTGTTGTTTTTTTTTTTAAATTGCCCAGCAATGTCTAGCATTGACCTTGGTCAGTAATGTTTTGTTTCATATGCTTGGAAAGAAAAGTGATGGAGTAAACTAGATCATTATGTTATACTGGTGTTTTATTTTTGTAATCTTTGATGGTATTTTCTAATGAGATTTCTTTTGCTTGGTGTCTTTCTACTAAAACCTTGATTAAAGATACTGCCAGAAGTCATGTGAATCATAGTAAGCTTTTTCTTTCGCTTTCATGAGTTATGCAACACAGGAAAAGAAAATACAGGGAGATTGAGCCCAGCTGTTTACATGTAGGATCTAGTTTTCATTGTAGCTTGTAGTGAATATGTTGAAAAAGTAGAAGATCAAGTTTCATTTTGGGGAGAGCTAAGTTAGTTAAAAAGCTTGAAACCATCAGAGTGAGAAAAGAATTACAATGATAAATTATACTGCTTTCAATTCTAAACTTCTATAGTAACTCTTTTTTTAATGAGGTTTATCTTGTTGCTTTTCAGAAGTAATGCCTTACCCGGTTTGAAGTTCTAAGAGAGCCTTCTGTTTGCATAAGGCATAAGAGAAAATGGAAGAAGATGAAACTTTACAGCGTGAAATGGAGAGGGCAAAAACTGAAACACATCCTACCCCTGAGATCAGTCGTCGAGTATCAGTTAGTGAGTTCCTTTGCCACTGCTGTTATGACATTCTGGTCAATCCCACCACCCTGAACTGTGGGCATAGTTTCTGTAGACATTGCCTAGCCTTGTGGTGGGTATCATCCAAGAAGAATGAATGCCCCGAATGCAGAGAAAAATGGGAAGGATTCCCCAAAGTCAACGTCCTCCTCAGGTGAGCGGACTATGCCATTTTGGATTTTTGGAGCCACCGAAATTAGTGGCCTGGTTTCTTGATTTTGCTGCAGATTTTCACAGTTTATTGGTAATCTGAACTGTCACAAAGACATTTAAATCCTGAAGTCTTTTGTGTTCGGCACTTGTGCTGCACTGTTCAAGCACATTTTTCAGCATGGAACAAAGGGGTGGGTTGATAGGCTTTGGTATGGGTTTTGGGTTTTTTTTTCCCCCTTCTGAATTTTTGGGGGATGGAGAGGAGGGATGCTTTTGTATTGAGACACTTGGATCTTTTAATACAGCTGGCTGTTTCCTAATAATTCTACGTTAGAATGATCTTTGATAACTGTGCAATTATTGCTGTAATAGGAATTAATTATAGGAAGAAATGTGATCTTATTGCAGAAAAAAGCTAGAAATATCAATTTGCTGTCTCAAATTACCCACAAATTCTTGTGTTAATAATACTTTAGCCTAGATAAATAATATTTTAATAAATAGGTGGTAGAATTGATGGTAGCCTTTTATGTTGTCTTTTGCTTAGCATTTTTGAATAATCAAGGCTTGCCAGTAGCACACACGATTCTAGTTTTGTATAAGAAATAAAGATTATTTTTTTTTTTTAATTTTTAACTTCCTCTATCTTTTAGAAGCTAAGGAAAATGTTGTTTGGAAGTAATTGATTTAAGTTTAAATTTACTAAGTATTAATAACTAACGTTTTCTTGCTTTCAAAGATGATAGTCTTTAGTAGAGGCTGGAAAACAAAATTGCAAAAATTAGTCCCTTTTCTGACTGCTAAGCATCAGTGGTTATAGTAAAATGACAAATATTTTTCCCACTAGGGATGTTATTGAAAAGCTATTTTCTGATGCCATTGAACAAAGAAAAGAAGATATTCAACAAAACAGTGATGTAGCACGCAGCTTAGCAACCTTCCAAAAATATGGGAATGACCAGATCCCTACAGTTCCTCACACAGGAAGAATTAATCCTCGAGGAGGAGGGTTTTTCTCAGGCGTTCTGACAGCTTTAACCTGTGTAGCAGTAAGTGTCATCTGGTTGGTTTTCCCTATTTACTTCATTAAGCATGCAATCAAATAAATTATATGCGCGTAGAAAAGATTGTCACCACCAAAGAGACTTCAGCTGAGTGAGTAAATAAGGTAGCATTCAGAGCTGTCTGTCAAGAACTACAGTTGCAATATACAGCAAACAGTAATTGGACAAATTGGGTAAAATTTCTTGGTATTTTCTTGTAAGCTGAATATTTTAGGGTCCATAAAATGGAAGATTCTACATGTCAAGCCCCTTAATGCATGTTTATTTGTATCATTAATGTATTTGCTTTGCAGGTAAAGGATCTGTTTTGTTTTGTTTTGTTTTTTTTTCCCTCCTTCTCCTTGTTTTTTTTTTCTTTGGTTTTTTTTTTTTAAAATCTACCTATAGGTAGTTCTACTTGGATATCACTGGAGTAGCAGAGAATTTGAAGAAGATCATCTTGTCCACAAGCCTGTTGCTAAATGGACTGCTGAGGAAGTGATACTTTGGCTAGAGCAGCTGGGCCCATGGGCTTCACATTATAAAGAAAGATTTTTACTGGAGAAAGTGAATGGAAGGTGAGAGGCCTAACTGTCAAGAATAGCTATCATTTGATTGGACTACTGGATAGCTTTCATTAGGGATGGTATATTGTGAAACGACTGTACTTCATTACATAGATTGTGGAAGTACTGTGTTGATGTATCAGAATAAAATTCAGGGGAAGTTTTAACCCTTGTAGTTGAAAACCTTAGTAGTAGATACTGAACAAGCTGACTGAAAATTTTGTAAGAACTTTTTAAAATGCTGACGATACAGACTGAAATGATACTGAAAGTAAAATTCTATTAATGTGTTATCCACCCCTCCCACCTTTTCTTTCCTGTGAAAATATTCATATGCTACATGCATTGTTGCATTCCACCCAAGAGCTCTAGGTTTGATTTCAGGAGACCAGACTAGATCTGTGAAGTACTGAAGAACTGTTCAGTAATAGCCAACAAGCTGATACATTTGCATGCTGAAAGCAGGCGAGAGAAAACTTGAAAAGAAGGATATTTAAAACCCAGGCTTTGAGACACAGTTGATTCAGAACACTTGATATGGAATGTAATCCAAAAGGTGATACCTTCTATCAGTAGCTTATTGTTTCAGTATGTGATTGCTAACTTGTTAGTCATGTCTTTTTGGTGAAGAGGCACTGTTTACCTTTTGAATTCTTCTGCTTTTGTAGACTACTTCTAACACTGACAGAGGAGGATTTCATGAAGGGGCCTTACAGTATAGAGAACAGTAACCATAGAAAAGCTGTTATAGCAGAACTGGAATGTGTGAAAACTTTAGGCGTTAAACCACCACAGAACCTTTGGGAATATAAGGTAAATTCTATATCAAGTCTGTCATGTATATTAAGTATTTTTAAAATAATATCTTTAAAAGAAAATTCTCTTAAAGCCAGGAGGAGTGTTAAGGTAGTAGAATTACCCTTGTAAAAACTGCTCAGTTTAATGAACTGTTGTATTTGAGAAACAATTGTCTGAAAAATCTGAGAACTGGCATATCCCTTTCATTTTATTTTTTTCATTGTTTGAAACTCGATAATTTGATACCTTTCAGGCAGTAAATCCAGGAAAATCACTCTTTCTTCTTTATGCACTGAAGAGTTCTCCAAGACTCAGTATGTTATACCTATATTTGTTTGATTACGCAGAAGCTTTCCTACCTTTCATTCACACAATTTGCCCTACACAAGAAGACAAGTATGAAGATATTGTCACAAAACTACTAGTAAGTGTTCAAAACATTAAATATGCTACTTGCTTTAGTTGTAAGCATTTTAAGACTGGCAGCATAAAAACATATGATGTAATTATTCACCATTTAATCTATTTACAGTCTGACTTTAAAAAAAAAAGAAGTCCTACAAAGTAAGTGGTTCCTTGATTTCACTGTATGTGATCACCAGTGTTGTGACTATTACCTCTTAAGATTGATTTAAGGCTTTTAAGACTTTAAATCTGTGAAACTGTTTTTTTTTGAAGTTCACATGACTATAGAAAGGCTGTTCACTCAAAATATACCTGTATTTTAACAAATGGCATTATAACGTCTGGCTGTCTGCAATACTTTAATCTAGTGGAAATTACTGGGTTATAGTATTACCAACCAGAAACCATAGTAAAGATAAACTACTGTTTTCAGCGTATGATAAAACATTTTTTTCAACAGTAGTGTAAATAAGCCAGTAATATATCTGTTTAATAGGAAATTGATTAACAGTCTTTTTATCCTAATTTACAGGACCTTAAAGATCCTTCTTGGAAACAGTGGAGAGAATTCATTGTCAAGTATTTATTTTTGCCATACCAGTTGATAGCTGAATTTGCTTGGGATTGGCTGGATGTGCACTATTGGACATCAAGATTTATAATTGTAAATGCCATGTTGCTCTCTGTTCTGGAATTACTCTCCCTTTGGAGGCTCTGGTCAAGAAGAGAATTGAAGTAAGTCTTACTGAGCTTGTTGATGAGGGTAGGAAGTACATGGCCTTATAAATAGAAAGTAGCGGTCTCAGAATTTCACAGTGCTCACTGAAACGACAGTGTAACCACAACTCTGAGGTTGATAACACGTCAGTCTGAATCCGCATGTGTACTAGCACTTACTCTTGGATATCTTTATTTCTGTGAATATGTGAAAGGGTTTCTTAGAGCTGGTTTTACTGATCAGATGTAGCAAGTGCAGTAACGGTAATAAGCATGTTCTTAGCAATTGGGTAAATATGAACTCTTGCCTCGAGAATTGTCTTTTGTGGTAGTTGGTATTAGCTGTCAGTTGAGAACTAAATGCATAAGAATTTTGTCATGATATGCTTACAAGATAGTTATTAAAGGATGAGTCCTCAGGATCATAAATGAGTTTAGTTACACTGATATTATTTCTCATACATGATCAAAATTGCTGTTTTCAGTTACTGCCTTAAGATAAAGCCTTAATTCAGGCATATTAATATTACTTCATAATTGCTGTGGTCTTTCATTTATAGTTTTTAGAACTTGCATAGGAGAAATTCTTGTTTTGGTTTACTGGGTTTTCAGTTTCTCTGCCAGCAGCTAGAGGGCAGAACATTTTCAGAAGAGAAAAGTGTACAGGAAAGTAATTATGTCGAAACTGGGATTTGAGCACTTTAACTTGCTGTGATTTGTGGTCTGAATAAATTGACTTAATGCTTCCTCATATAAAATCTAGTATTACTGTATTTTAAGAATACCTGTTTTACAGGTACCTGAGTACGGGCTAAGTAATTTGAGGCTGCAGCACATTTTAACTTTTCTTAGAATGGGTAAAAACAAAACAAAAAGTTCCTCTAAGCCTCTGCCTTTCCCTTCCTTTTTCACAGGACTGTTCCTCACAGAATGTGGAAACATTTCTGGAAAGTCTCAACCCAGGGTCTTTTCGTTGCCATTTTTTGGCCTTTTATTCCTCAATTTGTCTGCAATTGTTTGTTTTACTGGGCCTTGTACTTTAACCCGATTATAAACATTGATCTTGTGGTTAAAGAAGTAAGGCGTCTGGAGACACAAGTGCAGTGACTGGCATTGGAACTTCTGAGCTGTTTAGCTTCCAAAAATGGACTCTTGAAATAAGTTTGCATTTCTTCTTTATGTATGTAGCAGTGAAAGTGGTGGATTATGTTAACTTAAACACACAAAAAAGCCTTAACGTAAGTTACTCTTAAACCAGCTGATACTAAATCTGAGGATGGGCTTTATTATCCAAAAGGAATCTTCTACTGAAAAAAAAAAAAAATTACACTCCTGATTTAGCTGTATGTAACTTACACAGTCATGTCACCCTATTTTTGATCAAATCAAACTTATATAGAAGCATTCTGGTTATTTTCAAGCCTGCCTTAAAATCAATGTCTTCTGAACAGCTACAGTGATTTTTGGTTTAATTTTTTTTTTTTTTAAATTTAGCATTTCATACCAGCAATGTGTTCCTCAACGTAAGTTTGCCAAAGGGAAGTTCTTCCTGGAGAGGCTTGATATTGAAAGTACTTCAGTGTTTTCAGTCTACTTTACATGTAAAGTTGTGACTGTCAAAATACACGG